TATATATATATATATATATATATATATATATATATATATATATATATTTGATAATTTTACAAACTTCACAATAAATTCTCATCCTGTACTGAAGCCTGTTTTTAGGGTCTTATCACCACCAGCTGGTGAGGTGCGTGACATCAATTTGAACCCCGCCCACTAGAACCGTTACTGAAAGCATAATGGAAACACAACGTGTACCGTACTGACCTGAGCCGAACCGTGATGTATCGGTACTAATGGAAAGGGGGCATGACAGTCAGTGAGTTGGATTTGAGGATGGCAAGAGGCACCGACAACCTTGCATCTCCAGCTCAAGGGAACAATGGAGGTGCAGAACATGGCCCACTCAGACTTCAATCCTCTGCTTTTGCTTGGGCTCAGTTATCTTTGCTCTTTGCCCCAAATTGTTAATGACAGAATTTTAAACAGTTCTTGAACAATATGTTTTCACTCAGAATGTGTGTTGGGGATTCATCTCAGCTACTACCATACCAAAAATTGGATTAAACCTTGTAGAGTTGACTGATTTATAGTAATTTTAATGTGTTGTTTTTAAAATCAGCCTTCTTGACTTGGATCGACTCCAAAAGTTAACTATTTTTAGAGGTGTGTATATATAATTATCTCTTTCTAATATGTTGTTAATGTGACAGACACCAGTATAAAATACAATTGTCTACGTTTGCCTTTCAGTGGCTGGACAGAAGAGTATTTAAATACCCACTGGAATGCCTTCTGTATATTCATAATTTTAATTAGCTGATCTAATTGATTTAGAAGTACTGAATTTAAATGATGTGAACTTTTATATGCGTTAAAAAAATTAGGATTAGCACTGAAACCTAACTCAGTCAAAACTAAGGGATGTTTTAGGGTTCAGCTCAAGCTCTTTACAAAACTGGATGAAACCTGTCATTGAAATCTGCTACAAAGGGCTGGATTTTATTTTATTTTATGTTTTTTTGGAGCCAAGCTGTTGTAGGTTTTTTGACATGGCTGCAAACTGGTGATGATGACACAGTCCATTAGACTTCATCTTCATTGTAAAATCCTTCAACACGCTCGCACACTTTTTTTGTGACTACAGTAATTGGTTGCTTCCTTCTGCATGTGACCTAAGAGAATGAGGCTGCTGTATTTGACTGTAAAGACCGTCTTTAATGCACATCTGTGCATGTGTGCTGATTTTCGCGTTTGTTCAGTCTCTTTAAAATAATGACATGCTAAGATCTACAAGTCCTTAATTACTTCTAGTGGTTGGTAGTTAGTTTCTATCCAGAATAAATCACACAAGTAACATTTGTTGTACCGGGTATATCAGGCAGAAAAAAAATTAGAAACCAAACCTCACAGTGATATCTTGATTACCTTTAAATTTTGTTGAGGATTTTGTTTTTAATCTCTCTGCAGGTAATCGCATTGAGACACAAGGTTTCATTTTCAAGAGAGTGGATAAATGGCTTGTGTTTAAAGAAACCTTATAGTTTGTTTTTAATGAAACTCCCTCCTGAGAATTGGCATAATGCATTTATAAACCTCGATTTGTGGGCTGAGTGCTTCTTCACCCACTGGCCACACGTCCAGGTGTCTGTCTCTCCGGTTCTCTATCTGTGCTCGCATCTTTGTATGTTACAAAATGTGCATTCTTCTTCATATTCAGCATGGACATAAACAGAACTTTTGGTGCGAGCGTTTGAGTGGGCCTCTCCCTGCCTTGTCTCTTTCCCCTCTCTAGAGTCCAGCAAGGGGCCCTGCATAGAGGGGCAGCCTGCCGTTGCTGCCTTCCTCTCCCCTTGCCGGCCAGCAGTGGGGCCTGGGCGTTGGGGTGGGGGGAAGAGCGCTACAGAGATCGTACAGGGCTGGACACGGGATATCAGACCCCCCACCCCTTCCACCCCAGTTTAGCCCATCCTGTGTGGGGCACAGGTCACCTTGTCATGTGCTATTACGGCTGCTGTAACATGCTCCCTGTGATCGTAGGAAAAGAGCATGAGATAGACCCGTGGAGGCTGTGGGAGGGAGAATGATAGCGAAGTAAAGAGACAGGACAGGACTAGTCTGCTCAGCTACTTGTTTAGCTGCATTACAGAGTCACTTTGTACTTTCTTGTTGTTTGGCCCACATATTCTAATTTTATCTATTATCTCGGTTCTCTCTTAC